CGAACAAAATTTCAAAGGAAGAAGAAAAAAGATCTTCTTTCTACGTAATAATAAAAAAACTTCGTACAGTAACAGTAATAAAGTGGAAAAGTTTGACGATCGTTATTTAGAATTCTATACTTCGTATTTTTAGCGCCAAGAAATTTTCGCTTATATTAAATTATTATCAAAATTTTTGGACGGAAGATTATCAATGTGGACTGATTCTCTACATAATCTATTCAAAGCTCTAACAAACATTATAGCTCAGCTATGAAACTTTTATTTTCTTAAGAAAATTGGAAATTACTTGATAGTTAACCTAATATCAATTATACAAAGTCCGATTCCTTATCCACAGTGTAAAAAGCAGCAAGAGTAAAGAACGTTCGCTCCTAAATAGAAAATAAATTTCAGAATATTTCTAACTACAGAATTTGGACGTTCAGGTACAAATATAAAGGAGTTCCTTAAGATGTGGAAAATATTATAACGTTAAAATTCAAAAATATGAAAAGAATAAAGAAACATTGTTCTTTTTATATCTTTACCCATTACGCTTTTTATATTTTTTGGCAAGCATAGACAGTACAATTCAATCCTGGTTTTTAAACACCTCAATCTGACATTCAATTTACGCAGACAACCGTCATTTTATGCAAAAATGGTGAAATAATATCGTAAACGAAATTTCCTCACATATTATACATACATGAGACACTACAGGTTTTAATAAATTTAATAAATATTATATTACGTTTTCATAATTAAAAAATTGCAGATTTTAGTATTTTTGTTCACTTGTATCACGAAAAATAAATTCGTATTAAAATTGACAAGAGAAGAAAATTTGCACATTTTTCTTATTTTTGAATTCTGATTCTGCACTGTAATACTGTCCACACGCTAAGAACCATATTTCAATCTGTTAAATCTAAGAAATTTGATTAACCCACTAGATATCCACATAACTACTTACTATAATTCAGCACAGTCTACTTGTTAATATTTAACATGTATTATACAACACGTGGTGTTCACAAAGTGGCAAGAACCAAAGCAGAATATCGATTTTGGTAATTCTGGTATAATCACATATGCAGGGTGACTCGTTTTAATCTACAAATGTTAATATTTCGGAAACTAGTTTGAACTGAGAAAGCTGCTTTCGCAAGCGTAAGTTCGCTAAGTTAAGGCCATTTCGAGATCAGTTGAATTTTCCTAAAACTCGCAGTGTATTTTTTTCTGACAGTACATCATAATATACTTCGTCTACAAAATCATAAGCAAGTTTTCCAGTTCAACAGTAGTTCCTAAAACACTATCACGAATACATTAAAACGAGTCACCCGGTATGCATTCAAAATTCAAAGCAAATCCATTAAAGTATTCATGAATTTAATGCTCGTGGAAGTTTTGCTTTAAAAACGAAACAAAATTATCAACACGATGTGTACGATTACTTCTACACTACTTGACGTGATATTAACGAAAAATTTCTATCACTCGTTTTTAAATCAACATTTTATACCGGTGAACACAAAATGTTTTTCTCCACTGCAATTATCGTTCTTGTAATTTCTTTTCTACACGAATGTCTCTATCGGCAAAACAGAACTTTATCCGAACAGTCGCTAATTATTTTCACCAAAAATATTTATCTCTGTTAAAATTTCAATTTCATGCTTGAGACAGAAAATTTCAGATAACACCGTGAATTCAGACTGTAATCAAGATTTAGTTTCGAGACGGAAAGTTGCCCCTCGCGAGCTTCACCACTGACAATTCGTAGAAGCTCTCCGATTGTGTAATGACGTAAAATAACACCAGGTATATTCCACGTTGAAGTAACACACGCCGAATGCAGGTAAGTACACAAGGGACACGGTAATCCACTATACAAATTGCTTCTTTCCGCGTTAAATCTTCGCGTGTAATTACGTATGAAGGTAGCGACTATCGTGAATATTTACTCTAGATGGAAGATTAGATGCGGAATATACTAAATTCTCCGAGGATACAGAAATTCGAGGTATTCGATACGAAAGCAAAATTTTGCACGTTTATTTTATCAATAGACAAATGAAAAAAAAAAAAAGAAATTCTAAATAATGTCGGACATATGGACGAGTCTATAACGCGAAAGTTCGAAAATAAAGAAAGTTAGAAATGTAAAATGACTAGAAATAATTTGTACAACGTTCGTATAATTTTAAGAAAAATTTCTTTACAAACACTCTCGAATAATCGAGCGTTTGTTGAAATTCGCCTGCGTAAAATTTGATCGAAAGTTGTGTAACGACTTCTCGTTTCAATTCACCCGGTATACAGAAATTTCAGTCTATCGAACAACTATGTAACTGAGTATCGGGCAATTAATTGCTGCGATCACAATGACACGAGACGAGATAGGTATTTTAACGTAATTTACAAGCACAAAAGCGTGTCTATGTAAACTAGTAGTTTCCTTACGGATCAGTTCAATTATTACGTGGACATCGAACGAAACTAGGCCATTTATAATTTATCAAATCACTGAAAACAGAAAACTTAACGAACATTAGGAAATAATGATTTCGAGAATGGAAACGTGAATCTACACTGGTTAAGTATAATTAGTAAATTATACAGTCATGGTCTGACCTATCTAAATAGCCCAATTGATTAATCACAGCATTCTATGTTACAACTATGCAATGACTAGTATTATTAATATGTTGCACGTTATAACTCTATGTAGTTGTGAAATTATCAATTCGAAATTAAATTTTCTCTTAAAATTCAATTATTCAATGAAAAAGTATTATTGAATAAAAAAATTGCTAATTGAAAAAATTAATCGCATTTAGTATAATGTATAGTATAGCACAGAATATTAGATTGTAAGTAGTACGAGTAGAAAGAAGATTTTTGTTACATCAGTGTAATTTAGAAAATATGCACAAATCAATTTTTTCATTTTGTCAATTGAATAGTGAAAGATACTTCGGAACTTTTTGAACGAGCTTTTATACGTAAATATTAACACTTTATATTTTTATATTTTTAACTTGTAAAATTAACATTTTCTATGTTTTCTATGTTTATGTAAAAAAAATTGCAATAGTAAGAATAACGAAATCAAAAAGCAAGTAAAACAATCGTACAAATTGTTGTTTGTACAGTTTAATAGTTTAATCTTCTATTTTTTAACCGAATAAAACTTTATTTATGTTTCTCACATTCGGTAAAAATAAAAGGACGTTACAAAAGGAAATGTGTATACAAAATCTTCTTTGCACTGTTACCCTACTTATAACGATATACACTGTGCATAAAATACATAAATATTTGAGTATTTTATCAGTAAATTTGGTATACTGCTTATAATATTAAAAAACAATATACTCAGAATAATTTCCAATAAATAAATAAACAAGTAAATAAAAGCGCCGAATTTCTAGCGAAAGTATTAATAAATAAAGCGTTCGTCAATATTCACTTTTTCAATGTTTCATGTTTAACATTATATTTTGCGTATGAAACTATCCGATATTTAAATACGCCTTCATAACACGCACAAGTAATAATAAATTCAATTAGTTTGAAACGTAATCATTCTGAAATGTCACGTTAAAATCAACGGTGTATACATTATTAAACAGCGTAGCTGTTTGTAATTATTTATATTATCAGTATTGCCTCCATGCACCTCGTCGATAAATATTTATCGAGACTGTTTGCTAATGGAAAATCGGCAAGTGATTCACTACTAATGCGCGAAAATAAGGTAAAACTGGCGTTAAAAATCCATATAAAAAGCATCAAAGTGTTACAGGTCACCGTATATTTGATTCGCCGTTTAAACCAACTTCGAAATTGCATGTACGATAAATACCAATCTCACTAACAATATCTATTCGCCTAATCTAACGACTATTGCTAGAAAGTATTAGGTCATCCTGAAAGTCCCTGGAAAAAAAACTCGAAAAAACATAACTCTATTGAAATTGAACATTTTTATTGAAAATAATTTCCATAATGTCCGATACACTTTTGCCAATGTATTACAAGAGCGTTAATTCCATGTACATAAAAATCCGAATCTCTAATAGAAAGAAAGGCACAAATAAATTTCCTCGATCCAAACTTAGTTTACTCCCAAACAATCATGTTCATAGTTTAGTGGTTTATTTCGAAATTAATTCACTGCAGTTTCCTAAGATTAGGTACCAATATCACTGCAGAGTTATATAGTACAGAATTGGAGGTCGTCTACCAAAAATTGAAGGTATAGCAACCTAGCCCTGGTCAACAAAAGAGGCTCTATCATTGCCTAAAAGTGCATCAACTGGGTACTGAAGTTCTACCCAAATACCCCGGATTTATCTCCAACCGATTTTCACTTTTTCCCGCTCACTCGACAATTTCCTTAGGCAAAGACGATTCAGGAAACAGGAGGATACTGAAAATGCCTTTCAGCAGTTTTCTTCTCTCAGAGACTCTAACCTAACCTAACCTTCTCAAAAGTGTATCGAACATTACGGAAATTATCTTCAATAAAACTGTTAAATTTCAATGGAGTTGTGTTGTTTCCGAGATGAACGGGGCTTAAAACCGCGGCAACTTTCAGTGTGAATTAATATTTTGTTAACTATCTAAAGCTAGAAGGATCGATAGGCTTGGGGTTTTGTTCAACGCAATAACTCGAAACTACTACCTGAGCTAACATCAGGAAAAAACTATAAGGATCTATCGAAGACTCTCTCTCCTGTTTAAGATTTCCGTGACCTTAGAGCCGATAAAGGATTAAGGCGTCGTCTAGGTGTACTATCGGTCGAGGAGGAGCCACTTTTGTTTTTCGAAGACTTAGATTTATTCTTCTCCTTACTGCTAGTAGCGGCAGTGGAGGTTGTTTTCACTGATTTCCCGGATTTGTTCGTGGTAGTAGTGGCCGAGCTTGTGCTCGTCGACACTGCTGCGGCCACTGGTTTATTTACTGTATTAGGGTTCTGGGATTGGGTTTGGGTTTTAGGGCTTACTTGTACCTCACAGGGGGGTGGTGCACTCCTGTAAGACGGCACGATTTTGAAGGTCACTGAACCTCGTGCTTCCCGCTGTAACAGAAATTCGAATCGTTGAAGAGATGATGATCAATTGCACGAGATTATTACACGTTGAACAAGCTTTGTCTCGATCAAGCAAGAAGTAGATATTATACAGAGTGAATTACGCAGCTGGAATAAGTATAGTATTTGTATTTATTGAGAAATATAGTGTGGAATGATTTAATTTTTTTTTTTCATGGAATTAATTTTGATAAATCTTACAATTCTACAGTCTAGAGGAAAAGTGTGATTACACCGTTTTTCAGATTAAATAATAATACAGAAGACGAGGAAAAATTTGAAGAACCAAAGGGCAGTTCGAAAGGGGGGAATCGAACCCAGGACCTTCGGATCGACACGCTGGGACTCTATGCCCATAGCCAAGACGCCTTTCTAATTTCACCCCTGTTATTACTCCTTTTATCTATTACACAAAGTAGATTTATAAGAAGGCACATATTTTTACACAATTCAATGATTTTTTAACTTCAACGAAACAGGTTAATAACTGTCTTCCAACTGCGTGACTCATGCTATGTAGGGAGATCTATAGATAAGAATTAAAACTTATCAAATTAGAAGAATTAAGACGCTTAATCAATCCAACTTAAAGAATTAATACTTATTAACCTTTTCGACACATTTGTTCCCACTTGAGTACTCTAACAAAAACTGATCCCAATTCAATATCCATCACAGACGCGATGATTGGTAAATAAATAAAAAATTCGTAAACAAATACTTCGCTCACGAAAGAGTTAAAATATGCAAAACATATGCTAGGGTTAAAATTGCAAGAAAAAAGCAATCTAATGTTCGGATTGTACTCACGAGTATCTTTTGCAAGGCATTGACAGATTGATTGGCCACCGGTATTCCGTTAATTTCTCTAATCTCGTCACCTACGTGAAGGGTCGCCTGTTTATGTATCATACCACCGTGCATAATTCGTGCTACCACACATTTCCCATCCTCGTTCATTTTCAATGTGATTCCCTGCAAGTAAACAAGCAACACTATGTTTTTATCGTGTTCACTTTAGTGTTTGTTTTATTCGTGTAATGTTATTAAGAAAAATTATGTATAGAAATAGAGAAACGTTTTAACAGAAAAACTAATGACATTTTTTCAAGGAACAGATTCAAAGGTAAAACATTAACCCATGCACGTGAAAGTAATTGGAGTGTATACAGGGTGGGCTATGTGAAACAGGCTACCTAATTATCTTCTCTAGCTATGGTGGTAGGAGAACATTTTTATACGTAATTTAAATGGTCTCAAAGAGTGAATAAGATGGAAGAAGAAATTTTTTATAAATGGCATTTCTTTTTTGTTCTTTTTTCAAGGTCACCTGTTTCTTTTTTTACATGAATTTATATATTTCTTTTCTATGCGTTTAAACATGCATAAAGTGACCTTGGACTCTAAAATTTTTAACCAAATATGAGACTTCCTTTCGCTTATCGCCGTTTCTTCCATCTTCCATTCACCCCTTGAAACACCATTTAAATTACGTGTACGAATTTTTTCGTACCAGCATGTAGCTAGAGAAGATAATTAGGTGGCCTGTTTTACGTGGACCACCCTTTATAGGGGGTATGAAATAAATAAAGTACAAATTGAACAAACATAATCATTATAGAAGATAATTGGACGTCGAAATTCTTAATTATTCCTTGCAAATTATTATTACTAATTAATAATATTGTAAATTAATGCTGTATCATATTTATTAAAACAGTTTAATAGATATTTATCTATTGAAGTTTAATTTCTTCTCTGACACAATATATAAATATAAATATGAAAAATATAAATATGTGACACAAATATGCAACACGATTTGACAATTTATTAACCACTGTTCATTTTACTGCTAAGACTTTTGCATAAATTTTATTTGGAAAATAAATTATGTTCATATTATCTCTTAGACAATTAATAAATTTACTTTTGTGAAAGACTTTAAATATAAATCTACTAAGAATTGACGGATATTTAAAATATCTTTCATCGATCTTCCGAATATCAATTCTTCTACGAAAATGTCATTGGCAATTATGCATAATTAACTTTGTAAAGATATTCTTCACTCTAACATTTTTTTCCAGGTTAGTAGAATTTCTTTTCTCGAATCTTTCTTTCTTAAAACCTCGAGTTTCTTTCTACAGTAGTGCACACATAAGCGTCCGCAGTCGGACGCTTAAGTGGGGAGGTGACTTCTGCGAATTTAACTAAACAAAAGAGAGGAGATGTGTCTGAGTGAGATACCGATATATCAAGTGTCAGCTGTTCACATTCAGGAGTCGAACTCCACTCCGAAGTCCCATTTCCAAGAATTGGTGGAGATAGCGACGGACGCTTAAGTGTGCAAAAAAGGGGACGCTTATGCGTGCACTACTGTATCTAACAATCTCCATCCAAAATCTTCTATTTATTAACCGTTTCATTCACTATCTTACCATTGGCTCGTCAGTGTTCTTCTGGAACTGGACCAGTCTGACGCGCGTTACATTTTCTAGATCTAAATCACCGTTCTGACCCTCGAGATCGTCACCACCGTTTAGATAGGGTAGAAGAGGCGGTGGTGTTACTCTGGTTGCTTCTTCACCATAAACTTCGTGTCCCGCTACGTCATGAGCTTGTAATAGCGCCTGGAACAGAAGAGCAAAGCAAGGCGCAAATTAAACATCAATCGAACATCGAAACATTGAAACGGACGAGATAAAACAACGAATCCTCCCATTACTTCGCTATCATGGGTGTAATATCGCGTGTCGTTTGCAAACCGTAAACACACTTTTATTTTTCGTCGACAGAATTTCAGGATATTGCGTGGTCTAGTGTTGTTTCATTTCCCGTATTTCAAGCGGACGAGAGAGAGAGAGAGAAAAAGAACTGTTACATATTGTAAATGGAAGACACCAATTAATCGAAAATTTTGGGAGAAGTTTCAATTTTCAGTATTTGCAAGTTATACACTGTATGTACTTTGTCCAGTTTGGTATTTTGAGGTTTAGGGAAATAAACATTTGTATTTTAGTCATTTCAATACTATAGACTGGATAACAATTCATTTTAAATATACATATTCGAAATTTTCCTTTTATAACAAATGTGAATCATTTATATTATTACTGGTGCTTGCTAGACATTTAATATCAGACTTTAAATATTCTGCTTTCGGTTCTTTTAAATACAATCAAATAATTTCTTCAATTAGCGGTACTTGGATTACTCCGCTTCGAATAAAATATTTCGAAATTATTTTGAAGGTTTAGGGAAATAAACATTTGAATTTTAGTCAGTTCAATACTATAGACTGGATAACAATTCATTTTAAATATACATATTCGAAATTTTCCTTTTATAACAAATGTGAATCATTTATATTATTACTGGTGCTTGCTAGACATTTAATATCAGACTTTAAATATTCTGCTTTCGGTTCTTTTAAATACAATCAAATAATTTCTTCAATTAGCGGTACTTGGATTACTCCGCTTCGAATAAAATATTTCGAAATTATTTTGAGGTTTAGGGAAATAAACATTTGTATTTTAGTCATTTCAATACAATAGACTGAATAACAATTCATTTTAAATATACATATTAGAAATTTTCCTTTTATAACAAATGTGAATCATTTATATTATTACTGGTGCTTGCTAGACATTTAATATCAGACTTTAAATATTCTGCTTTCGGTTCTTTTAAATACATTCAAATAATTTCTTCAATTAGCGGTACTTGGATTACTCCGCTTCGAATAAAATATTTCGAAATTATTTTGAAGGTTTAGGGAAATTAAAATTTGTATTTTAGTCATTTCAATACTATAGACTGGATAACAATTCATTTTAAATATACATATTGGAAATTTTCCTTTTATAACAAACATAAATCATTTTACCAAATACTGGTACTTGCTAGACGTTTAATATAAGACATTGAATATTTTCCTTTGGGTTCTTTTAAATACAATAATATAATTTCTTCAATTAGCGATACTCACTTGGAATACTCCGCTTCGATTAAAATATTTCGAAATTATTTTGAAGGTTTAGGGAAATAAACATTTGAATTTTAGTCATCGTTGTTCTTCAGACTTGTCGAATAGGATTTTGAAATGACTTTGAGAGGTTGCTTTTTCGTTACTTTTCTTCCAGCAATTGAAATTAATTTGAAATTTTTCATATATTTTCTCTGATATTGAATTTTGTTTACTAATAATTTACCATCCAAGGAATTTGCATGAATTGCATGTTAAGTAGTTAGTTGATTTATTATTGTATATTGTGAGCTGATTTGAAAGCTGTAAATTAAAAAAGAGACAACGCATAATTGCGGCGCACAGAGTGCAAAATGAACGCATTTGTCAAACTGTCCTAAAATTAGAAGGAAATTAAAAAGTGACTTGGGTATCATGTTCCGTGTTAACAGTAGGAAGCACGTTGTACGAATAATGGAAACACGGAAACACTTTTGCGGGCGTAACGTTGAAACATTGCGGTTTGTTTCAATAATCGCTTTTACATACTTCGTAAACTTTGCCCTGGAGAGGTGTGCAATTTTTACGACGCGTGGAACCACCGATAAATTTATTATGCGTTACTGCTCGGATCACGTTCATATAGTACACCCGTGGTATAAACGATCGTGAAACAATTTCACCAGCGTTTAATTCATAATACCTTTTTTTATCGCGGAACACGATCAATATTTACGCGAAGTGATTTTCTTCGCAATATTGGTGGAAAATATTGCTATTCGCAAAAGTAATTAGAACAAACGTTTGGAATAATAAAATAAAATATTAGATAAGATTTGACATTTTTTTTTTTTTTTCAAGAATGAATATGATAGTTGCAATTATTTTAGAAATTAATTTATTATAGCAATGATGAAGAATAATTTGAAGAATTAAGATCGCACTCTAGTATCTTATTATTTATACGAAGTTGATATTATTCAAATTTTTAGAGATTCATTTATAACAAAGTATAGATCGTAGTTAAATTAATTTCACATAGTCGCGAATGTTGCTCACGTTTAATGGTATACACCACTCAAAAGTAGGTAAAGTTTGGGAATTTTTTTCGTAGGTAACTACTAAATGAAAAATTTCAATTTTATCAGAGGTTACAAACGTAACTTTCAGATTTTTTCTCCAATTTTTATTGCGTACAAAAATTCACGATCGGATAAGATTTAATGTATGTTACCAACCCACAAATTTCAGCTGTCGAGGAAGCCTAATATATCCACATGTCTGTCTTAAATAAATTTGAAATTCCTGGCTTAAAATTTTAAACGCATAGTCATCTAATAGCTGTACTCGAAAGGTAATTAAATATTGCTTTCGTATGGAAACGAGAATATAAAAATTCACACCTCCCACGGTAGTATGTGGCATTGTATAGTGGATGACATAATTTTGTTAACGCCATGTGATTTGAACGTTAAGTATCTATTTATCTACATTTTACAGTCTCGTTTTATTTGTTTATCTATATTATTATCAGTCAATTTTTCAATAGTAACTGCAATCTACAATTATTACATTTTTCTACATTTATTCTCGCTTCTCCCGTCAAAATGTAAGATTGCAAACATCCGTAATTTTTCTCCTCACGAGCGAAGAGAAATCAGATTACGGAGGATCAAAAGGAGGTATGTTTGTGAATGTATCCTGACATAACTCATCTGACGTAGAGAGAGAGAGAGAAAAAGAAGGAGAGAAATAAAAACGGCACTCTTTGAGGCGTAAAATCATCGACGCGCTATAATAGTTCTCTAAAATACAGTCGAGCATCCAGGAGGAACTCTTGAAACTGGCCAGATAGACGAGAAGGAGAGGAAAGAAGAAGTGTCGGTGACTTTCCCCTGTCATCGATTTCCAGCGCCTCGACACCGACACGTTTAATGGGCCTCTGAGCTCCTTTCAAGCTGCGTAATGAGAGAAGAGTCACGTCGATCGGTTTGAAAAGCGGAAGAAAAAAATGGGGCAAAAGTGCAGACAGCTTGTTCTGTGACATACGATACGGCATGCCACGCGGAGGGAATGCCATGTTCTCAGAGTGTCGGAATGATTCGTTGGAATTGTACCGGTGTCTGAAGAGGTGTATCGTCGATGTTCAAGCGTTCGTATTTGAATTTCTGCGTCTATTGCTATAGGGCTAGGGAAATCTTGCTGAACGTATAAATGTACATCTCGCGTTTACAAGTGGTGCGACTATGCTAGAATCTAGTAAAATCTACTATATTCTATTAATATCTATTGAAATCTTTTGAAACCTTTGGAAATCTACCAAAATTTACTGAAATCTATTGAACTCTGCTAAAATCTATCGAAGTCTACTAAATTTTACTAGAATCTACTAAAATCTACTTATCGAAGTGAAGCTCATTGTCATTACAAGTTTATAATAATTTTTTATCCTAAATATCGCCTAAAACTGACGTCTCCAAACGAGAACACCCCGTTAAGTAACCTTAACACGTTGAATGCCACGTTGGTCACCTGTGACCGGATTGTTTCCTCGATGGGGCCACCGGTGGTCATCACTGACCGGAAGTGCCTCAAATGTTTAGAATAATTGAAATAAAACGAATATCGTCAACTAAAAATTTCGAACATCAAAGCTAATTAGACATTATCTTGAATTAAAAAAAAAAATAATAAAGCATAATACAATATTACGCTTAGAATAATGAAAATTTTCTTTTGGCTCCCTGAGAGCAACGTGTGAGTCTGACATGGCAGTGAACGTGTTGGAAAAATCTACATCGCTTAATTGTACGCAAAGGGGGCGAAACTAGGCAAATGGACAAGGTGAGAACAGAAGGAAATACGAAATACGTTCTGTCTGAAGCCGGTTTGCTTGAAATCGAGCCAAAATCGTCACATGACTCGCATTGATAGCCACGCCACGTTTCTATTTCCCGTGGGCCGTGCACATCCTTCTAATCTATATGTAAATCCCCGCATGCTAGGAAGGATGTACCAAGCGAAACACGCGAAAGTGTGCGGATATCGCAGCGACTTTAACCATAATTTTCGGAAAGCACCGGATTCCCAGATACCGGCTACAGGAAATGGATGAAGGACCGTTCAAATGGAAGTTCCATGCTTATCCAAATATTTCTCGCGAGTGCTGCAATTCGTTGCATATTTATTTTGCAAATAATGCACCGCGTGGTCTATGCAACTTACAATTTCCAATGTTTACGATCATCATTCATAAATTCAGAGAGAAATATTTTGTTATATTCGTTACAGTCGTAGTATTGTATCTTGAACAACTGTGGCTGGTGAGAACTTACCTTTTTTTTTTTGATATAAATGAAATTTTGGTATACGGTAGTATTAAAAAAAATATTTTATTTTATCCAAATGAAAGCAAAAATTGGCACAAAAATGAATCCTTCTCGTACCCTGCATAGCTTCATCTTATCTAGAACATATTTTCTCTATCTCTTACGATACATTTTATCGAACTGTTCTCGTTAGATTGACAAAAAAATTTGTCCACACATCATTTCCACGATCTTTCTTCAGAACGAAATTCACCTTCTTTGGTTAAAAATGTTGCCACTGCGTACACTTCTTTAAATACACACAGTTACAGTGGGAATAGCTATTTCAGCAGAA